AAAGAGTGTGAATTCACTGGTTTCTAATATATTCACAGAGTTGTTTCAGCATCACAACAATCTAATTTTAGAACATTTAATCACCTCAAAAATGAACCTTATACCCATTAGCACATGGCGCCTCCTATCCTGGCACTAAGTAACCACTAATCTACTTTCTATCTCTATAGATTTATATTTTCTGCAGTTTAATATAAATGGAGTCATATGATATGGACAATTTGAGACTGGCTTCTTTCAATTAGCGTAATGTTTTCAAGGTTCATTCATGTCATACCATGCATTAGTACTTCATATTAATATTATGCTTTCTGATCCATGAATATGTGATGATTTTTCACTAATTAATCTTTTCAAAATTTTTTCCACAATGTTATCTACTTTTCAGTAGAGAAAACTTCCATTTCCTCACTTTTTTTCCTAAGTTTATTACTCTTTTTGATGCTAATTTAAATAAAATTTCTTAATTTACTTTTTATTTATAGAACAATATCATTCAATTATGATGAAGAATGTTCTGACTACTTCTTTGCTAGGTTTCGTTTACTTTAATATCCAAAGAACAGCTCAATACTTATTTGCCACATTGATATTTTGGCTTATTGCACTTTGATTATAAGAAATACACTACTCTTTCCAGCCTCTGGTAACCATCTCTTTACTCTTTATCACCATGATTTCAATTGTTCTAAATTTTACCTCCAGCAAATAAGTAAGAATATATGATGTTTGTCTTTCTGTGCCTGGCTTATTTGACTTAACATAATGACCTCCAGTTACATTCATGTTGTTGCAAATGACAGGATCTCATTGTTATTTATGACTGAGTAGTGCTCCATTATGTATACACACCACATTTTCCTTATTTATTCACCTGTTGATGGACACTTAGGTTGCTTTCAAATCTTGGCTATTGTGAATAGTACTGCAATAAACATGGGAATGCAGATATCTCTTCAATGTACTGATTTCCTTTAATTTTGGATATATACCTAGCAGTGGGATTGCTGGATTTTATGGTGTTTCTAATTTTAGTTTACTGAGGAACCACCCACTGTTCTCCATAGTGTGTGTACTGATTTGTATTCCCACCAGCAGTGTATGAGGATTCCCT